GGAGTGTATGGTTTGGGTGATATTTAGAGATAAGATCGGATATGTAAATTGGGGCAGTGTTGTGGATGGCTTTATATGTCAGTGTTAGTGTTTTGAATTTTATCCGTTGGGCAACTGGGAGCCAGTGGAGGGATTGGCAGAGAGGGATGGAGGACACTGAGTGGAGGCCAGTGGAGGGATTGGCAGAGAGGGATGGAGGACACTGAGTGGAGGCCAGTGGAGGGATTGGCAGAGAGGGGTGGAGGACACTGAGTGGAGGCCAGTGGAGGGATTGGCAGAGAGGGATGGCAGATACAGAACGGTTAGTGAGGTGGATGAGTCTGGCAGCAGCATTCAGGATAGATTGGAGTGGGGATAGCCTGCGATGAGGTAGGCTAATGAGGAGGGAGTTACAATAGTCGACGCGTGATATGACAAGGGAGTGAATAAGTTGCTTAGTGGTTTCCGGGGTTCGGAACAGACGTATCTTGGAGATGTTGCGGAGGTGAAGTCTACATTATTTTGTCAGCAATTGGATCTGGGGCTGGAATGACAGATGGGAGTCTAGGATTACACCTAGTACCCTGGCATATTACATCTTGATTGATGGAGACTTCACCTCCCTGTTATTCTAAGAAAAAGACTAGAGGGGCATGACACAGTCTGTGACTGGCAGAGATCCACCCACACCATGTTGTTGCCAAAAAATATTAAAGATTTGATTTTAAATATATATTTGTATGATTATTTAAAACAGTTTATAGATATTGTCTATTTTTACTCTGTATCCCAAAGGATGTTTTTTTTTTTTAATTTATTTTGAACATGTGACCAGCAGCAGAGGACTAGAAGCTTCTCCTGCCACTGTTTCCTTGCAGACAGGCTGGGAAAGAGCTGGGTCATGTGACAGCTGTATATTAATTAAGAAAAAAAGGTATTTAGATTTTTCTTGTATTATAATAATTATGGTGCCATCATCCACATACAGAAGGGGCAATGTAAATTAAAGAGTCTGGGTTTAGTATCACTTTATGTCCCACACATTTCAGCCATTTACCTTTACGGAATTGTGTTCAAAATATCAAACCCCATGGAGAGATTGTCTGCACAGAATCTCCAGATTACAGCTTTTTGGAGTAGTCTCTCCAAACATTCCAGCATAGACCTGCAAATGGCTACCCTAGAAAATCAGGTCTGTCTATCTGCAATATCTACCCGTTTGAACAGCCTTAAGGATTGTGAATTGGAGAAATTGAATGTACAGTAATGGGCATTTGACCTCCCTACTTACAATTTAGTTGACAAACTCTTGATGTTGTACAGAACTGTTCGTAAAGTATTTAGAAATGGAACATGGAGGGGAAACCCATTACAAAATCCAACACATACCGTATACTGTATCTCCTTCCAACAGTACAGCCAGGACTCCAACATAGAGAACTCTTGCCGTAAATGTGGGGAGAAAAGGGCTACTTAGCCCACTGCCTTTGGAAGTGTCCCTTGATACATACCTTCTGGATGGCTGTGATTGCATATTACATATCAGAAATTTGGAACTAATCCATTCCAGTGGATCCTATGATAATGATATTCAGCTACTGTGAGCTCCCGAAAGACTCTTGACTACCTCACCACAATGAAGACGGGACATATATATGCGCCTTTCAGCGGCCAGGCGTTGCATACTACAAGACTTGTTCTACAAAGTTTTGATGCTTTCCAGGGTTAAAGTAGAACTATAGGCAAAATTTTTTTTTTATAATTTTGGATAGAGTAAGGGAGGGTTATAACACCTGTCAGTCTATGTTTAGCCATCTGTGTCCCATTGCGGGGATTTACCTTTACTTTCTGTCCCATAGCCAAACAGGAAGTGAGAGGAAATCCCTGCAAATTAAAGCGGAGCTCCACCCAAAAAGGGAACTTCCGCTTTAAGGACTACTCCTCCGCTCCCCATTAAGGATTGGCACCTTTGCGGGGCGGGGGGGGGGGGAGCGGGTACCCAAATTTGACAGGTACCTGCTCCCACTTCCGGTCCGATCACAAATGGAAGGTGTCCTCCCTCCCTGTAGTCTTTTGGGACACGGAACAGGTCCAAGAAGACTACAGGACCATTCATGAAGCGCAGCACTACTCGCGCATGCGCAGTGAGTACCCGGCTGTGAAGCCGCAAACTATCACAGCCGGGTGCCCACACTGAAGATGCCGGCCTCCTGGAATAAAGTACAGCCGGTGAAACGGGCTTCGGGGGACACACCACGGGACCGAGGAACAGGTAAGTGGCTGTTTTTTAAAAGTCAGCAGCTACAGTTTTTGTAGCTGCTGACTTTTATTTTTTGACAGGGTGAGTGGAACTCCGCTTTAAGGGAATTCCTTTGGGACCCCTAAGTCACCAGAACTAGTGTCCCTACTGGAAAATTTCCCCTCTATTACTTTTCTGTGGACAACCCAAAATTTGAGGTTTCTTTTATGTTCGCGTTCGATGATAATGGTAAACAGGACAAATAGAGAGGGTGAATCTCCCAAACGGGGACACAGACAGCAATAAACACAGACAGGGGTTCTAATCCCTCTCCACGTTATCCAAAACCTAAAAAAAAAAAGTTAAATGTGCTCTCCAAGAACTGCTATACTAGAAAGATTAGTGTTGGTTGGTATCGCTATCAAAGAAACCCAAAGTGAACGATTTTTCCAACTCTGGTTGTGACAGATTGGTAAATCCCAGGGGCGGACTGACCATTTGGAAACTCAGGCACTGCCCGAGGGCCCGGGGTCAGTAGGGGGCCCCATGAGATGCCCCTGGTACCTTTTTCATAGGCTTTTTTGAGTTTGGGCAAGGACACAGAGGCCCCATAATCCCCTATTGCCCGGGGGCTTCATGAGTTGTCAGTCTGCCCCTGGTAAATCCTTTGACTCCTAAGAAAAACAGACAATCCTTTCTACCATTAAATATACAGCGCAGTACACCAAGGAGGAGCTGTATGGGAATATGGAGATCTTCTCATCGATTGATGCATTCAGGGTTGCAATTTGGTCTTCTGCTTTATTGGTACCTCTACATACCCTTGCGTAGGGGTGGGACTTTTGGATGATGTCATGACGCTAGTTCATAGCGGTAAGAGCGGTATTGAAGAGGACCAACGTATTTTATGTACACGTTGCAAATATTAAGTGCGATGTAAGGATGCCCCATTGTTTGATGGAAATGAAAATTATCAACCTACAGAGGACTGAATTCAAAGGCACCCCAAAAATCAAAGTGAAAAAATGATGCAGCAGGCGAGTCCGTTTTGCTGAAATGTCATTGCAGCAACTCAGAATGGTCCTCAGTAGTTTGTATGGCCCCCACGTGCTTGTATGCATGCCTGACAATGTCGGAGCATGCTCCTAATGAGACGATGGATGGTGTCCTGGAGGATTCCTCCCAGATCTGGATCAGGGCATCACTGAGCTCCTGGACAGTCTGAGGTGCAACCTGGAGGCATCGGATGGACCGAAACAGGATATCCTGTTCTGCTGGATTTAGGTCAGGAGAGCGTGGGGGCCATTCAATGGTATCAATTCCTTCATCCTCCAGGAACTGCCTGTATACTCTCCCCACATGAGGCCGGGCATTGCCGTGCACCAGGAGGAACCCAGGACCCCCTGCACCAGTGTAGGGTCTGACAATGGGTCCAAGGATTTCATCCCAATACCTAATGGCAGTCAGGGTGCCATTGTCTAGCCTGTAGAGGTCTGTGTGTCCCTCCATGGATATGCCTCCCCAGACCATCACTGACCCACCACCAAAACAGTCATGCTGAACCATGTTACAGGCAGCAGAACGTTCTCCACAGCTTCTCCAGACCCTTTCCCGTCTGTCACATGTGCTCAGGGTGAACCTGCTCTCATCTGTGAAAAGCACAGGGTGCCAGTGGCGGACCTGCCAATTCTGGTGTTCAATGAAAAATGCCAGTTGAGCTCTATGGTGCCAGGCAGTGAGCACAGGGCCCACTAGAGGACATCATCGGGCCCTCAGGCTACCCTCATGAAGTCTGTTTCTGATTGGTCAGAGACATTCACACCAGTGGCCTGCTGGACGTCATTTTGTAGGGCTTTGGCAGTGCTCATCCTGTTCCTCCTTGAACAAAGGTCCTGCTGATAGGTTAAGTACCTTCTACGGCCCTGTCCAGCTCTTCTAGATTAACTGCCTGTCTCCTGGAATCTCCTCCATGCTCTTGAGACTTCAGGCAAAGGCACGTATTGATGTGCCATCCTGGAGGAGATGGACTGCCTGTGCAAACTCTGTGGGGTCCAGTATCGCCTCATGCTACCAGTAGTGACACTGACTCTAGCCAAATGCAAAACTAGTGAAAAACAGTCAGAAAAGATGAGTAAGGAAAAAAAATGTCAATGACCTCCACCTGTAAACCATTCCTGTTTTGGGGGTCATCTCATTGTTGCCCATCTAGTGCACCTGTTGTTAATTTCATTAACACCAAAGTAGCTGAAACTGACTAACAAGCCCCTCTGCTACCTTCCCTTACCTTGTGCTGCTGCCGGGAAGAAGCGGGGCGGAGCTGGGAAGCAGAAAGTGCAGGGTCTTCAGGAGGACAAAAGGAGGGCTGGAGTCAACTGTCGGAGGCAAAGACAGAGAAGCACATTATCTGGTGGAGGAGTTCTGTCCTCCTCTCTGCTGCCGACTGCTGAGACAAGGTGGGGGCAGAGATCAGGGGGGGGTGCTGCAGCTGCAGCAGAGGTACAAGGGCAGCATGCAAAGGCCTGGGGGGTAGGATTTGGCCAGCGGGTATTGTATTTTACACATGTGCAGTAAGGCAAAAAAAAGTTTAGCCTTTAGAACCACATTCATTCTTACCGGCTCCTCTTCTGGACTGAAAAGGCTTACTCTGATTTCACTGCACACTGTGAGCTTCTCACAATGTGCACTAGAAGCTGAAGAACGTCAGAAAGAGCTCACCTTACTTCCTGGCTGGAGGACTTCCAACAACATCAGCATATTTTACATATTGTTTACCGTGTATGCACGTAACCCCCCTGGCGGTATTCCCGAGTGTAGCTCGGGGTAAAGTTTCAGCACCACAAGCGGTACCCCCCCGAGCTACACTCGGGCTTACCATGCGGCGCTGCTCCGGGATCTCTTCTTCACTTACCTTGTCCTGCGCTCTGCGCTCCCGCGATGTCCCCCCCTGCAGTGTCCCCGACAATGTCCTCCGGCCGAGGCCGGCATCTGTCTTCTGGGTTCTGTCCCCTGTGACGTCGGGACGTACGGGGGATGGAACTGGCGGGAAATTTGAAAATGACAAAAAGTGACATTCACTAAATACACTAAAATCACATAGTAAAACATTCCTGTATCAAACCATTTCACATACATTTTGTCCCGAGTGCTTTGCCCGGCGCCCTGCCTGCATTTGTACTGTTCTTTCTGCCTGGAAACTGAGAAAAGTCCATGGTGTCCAAAAAGCGTCCCTTTAGGTCAAAATCGGTTTTAGACCGGCTAGAGAACAGCGATAGTAAATCAGAACCACTTGCAGAATTGAGTGATAATGATTCGTGGGGGAAATTCCTCATCAGACACTGAAAACGATTCTGCGACTTTGCTCAGCGATGGGCGAACTTGGCGCTATATTTCAAATGTCAGTGTTTTTGGTTTGATTATATTATTGAATTAAATTTATTATTATTATATTATTATTTTTTATGATTATTTATTATATTATAATTCATGATTTCATGTTTCAAATTTTAACATACCCGGGATGTTTACTAGACTCTTGTTCGGACAGATTTCAGTGAGTTATTCCTAAGAATTACAGGCCTACAATAAAAAAAATACATATTTCCATGCAAAAAAAATGTACGCTTTGAGCACAGAAATATGGACATAATCAGACTGCTAGGGAGGTTAATATGACATCATAGATCTTATAACAGGTCCACCTTTCTATCTATATGAAATGTGCCAGCTTGTGATTTATCATTTTTTTTATTTCTTAGTATTGCAATGCTGTCTTTGGGGGTTTAAAAGGGAAATCGCACCGATTCCTCAACTCTGCTGCCCCGATGATTTGTTTAGAGCGACAAAATTTATTTTAAAAATGAACTATTGTAATCTTATAATTGCTTAAAATGGTAAATGTTGGGCCCATGAAGAAAAGTAAAAGCCTAATGACAGCATGTGTTCTAGGAGGCAGCGTCATTAGCCGGGGCGCAGATGTGTGAGCGGGGTACGTGTCTGTGCCTGCCGGATCCGCGGCTTTTCATTACACGGCATCCTGCGCTGAGTGCGCCAGCTAATGACTTACAAAATAATCGCTAATGATGCAAAGACTGGGGAATGTGTCCAATGAATGTGTCAATATATCCATCATGCTACCAGCGCGATCGCTAATCCAGCACAACAATGGAGGGATGATGTATGTGTTATTATCTATGCGGGGGTCACAACAGCAGAATGGCAGACTATTCCAGAATATCCTCAAGCCATCTGCGTAGGGCAGAGAAAGTGTGGCACAAAAAATACATTTAAGGCTGAACTCCAGACACAACCATTTTCATTTAAATATATTCCTTACAAAGCAAAAAGGATATAAATCCACTTTATGTCATTACAAACCTAGATATTACCTTGTAAATGTAGCTGTGACATTATCAGTATAGCCTGTATACTGTACATAGAGCAGAGCTATGGGGGGGGGGGGACCCAGAAGGCTCCATCCACTACAGGCCCGTAGAAAACTACAGGAGGGGGGCGGAGACAAGACCAGTCACCCTGTACAAGGAGAGAGTGCAGCAGTGAGCGGTCTTTATTACAGGACGTTCCTGCACAGAGGGAAAGGCTCACACTGGATTACTGCACAGATCTGAAAGAAATGCACAAAGAAATTTCCCAGCAAAGCAACAGGAAGATAGAAAAGTCTCCCAAAGTGGAGGGACTCCCCCTCCTAGGCAGTGGACCATTGGAAGATTCCACCGTATGAGCCGATTCACACATGTGCGGTGCGGATTGAAACTCAGGTTTCACAGCTAATTGATACAGTAGTTGTTCACCGATTTCATGTCAGGTTTACATCAGGTTCAGGCCAGGATCAGCTAAGGATCTTATCTTGTTCACACATATGTGGTTTAGAAACGGTTCCCATAGAAGTCATTAGCCCAAAGTGGAGGGACTCCCCCTCCTAGGCAGTTGTCCCTGGACCATTGGAAGATTCCACCATATGAGCTGATGTGCGGTGCGGATTGAAGCTCAGGTTTCACAGCTAATTGATACAGTAGTTGTTCACAGGTTCATGTCAGGTTTACATCAGGTTCAGGTCAGGATTAGCTCAGGATCTTATCTTGTTCACATATATGCGGTTTACAGTCATTAGCCTGTAATCCACACCTGAACCTGAAGGCACTGCTCAGAAATCAGACATGACTCTTTTTCAAACCGCACTGAATCCACACCGCCAGTGCACAGGCACCATGGGAAGCAATGTTTTTTCACATGTAATGCGCATTGGATGTGGTTCAAACCGCATCCAATCCACATATATGTGAACTAGCACCATCTCTTGTTCTGGGGAACTCAATCATTTTGGATCTGCAATCACTTTCTCTCTCAGTCACAATTGTCATTAACCACTTCCAGTCCGGACACTTTCAACTCCTTCCAGTCCAGGCCAATTTTCAGCTTTCATCGCTGTCACACTTTGAATGACAATTGCGCGGTCATGCAACACTGTACCCATATGAATTTTTCAGCATTTTTTTTGAGACAGCTAAAGCTTTATTTTGGTGGTATTTATTCACCACTGGGATTTTTATTTTGTTATGTAAATTAAAAAGTCCAAACATTTAAAAAAAAAAGTGTTTTTCTTATAAAATTTTGCAAATAAATAATATTTCATCACAAATCTTGGCCAAAATTTATTCTGTTATCTTTTTAGTAAAAAAAAATAACCCAAATTAGTATATAACCAAAAATTATAATTTTTTAAAAAAAATTTTTTACATTTTTATTTCATTCATTTTTTTTTACATACTGTCACCCTAGTAGTACAGTGTCACCATGGTGACAGTGTACTACTTGTAAGGGGGGGGGGGGTGATGAAGATTTTTTTTTTTTTTTACACTGATTGCTTTTACACCCATAAAGGATCATTTCTCCTTCTCTCTGGCTGCATTCTTGCAGCCATTGAGAACTACTGTGTGAGCTGTGATTGGTCACAGCTTGTCACATGGTACATGGCTGTTGTGAATAGCCTTGTACTATGTGACCTCTGTGATCATTCAAAGATTTCACACGTAGTAAGCAAGGATGTCACAAGTCACCATACTGATGGTGTCAGTATGTGCAGGAGAGGCATACAGGGGGTATGATGGTGTCAGTATGTGCAGGAGAGGCAGCAGGGGGCGGGGAGGTTTTCTATAAACGGGCCACCAGGGGGTATGATGGTGTCAGTATGTGCAGGAGAAGCATACAGGGGGTATGATGGTGGGCAGTATGTGCAAGACAGGAATACAGAGGGTATTGATGGTGGGCAGTATGTGCAGGAGAGGCATATAGAGGGTATGATGTGGGCAGTATGTGCAGGAGAGCATATAGAGGGTATGATGTGGGCAGTATGTGCAGGAGAGGCATATAGAGGGTATGATGTAGGGGGGGCAGTATGTGCAGGAGAGGCTGAATATAGAGGGTATGATTTGGGGGCAGTATGTGCAGGAGTAATTCCAAGCAAACAAGTAGATGGCATATAGAGGGTATGATGGTGGGCATCGCCATGTGCAGGAGAGGCCATTTATAGAGGGTATGATGTGGGGATGCAATGGAGTGGGTTTTACTAAAGGCAAATAGACTGTGCACTTTGCAAGTGAAGTTGCTCCACAGCTTAGTAAATGAGGGGAAGCTCTGTTGACTTCCTTCACCCAATCACGTGTAAGTAAAAATACTGTTTTGTTTTTGTTTTTTATTTCCTTTCATGTGATTGGCTATTCTTTGCTAAGTGAAGCTTTATCTCATTTATTAAGCTCTGGAGAAACTGCACTTGCAGAGTGCACAATCTATTTGCCCTTAGTAAATCAACCCCAAAGTGTATTATAGTGGGCACTATGTGCAGGGGAGGAGTGTTGAGGGAATGGCAGAAGGCACTGTGTGCAGGAGAGGAAGGCAATGGGGTTGGTTTATTAAAGGCAAATAGATTGTGCACTCTGCAAGTGCAGTTGCTCCAGAGCTTAGTAAATGTGGTGAAGCTTCACTTTAATGTGCAAGGAAATTTAAAAAAAAACAGCATTTTGCTTGCACAAGATTGGATGACGGAAGACAGAAGAGCTCCCCTTCATTTATTAAGCTCTGGAGCAACTGCACTTGCAAAGTGCACAGTCCATTTGACTTTATTAAATCAGCCCTAGTTTGTATTATAGTGGGCAGAATGTGCAGGGGAGGAATAGAGAGAGTATGATGGTGGGCAATGTGAGCAGGAGAGGCACACAGAGGGTATGATGGTGGGCAGTATGAGCAGAAGAGGTGTACACAGGGTATGATGGTGGGCAGTATGTGCAGGAGAGGTACACAGGGTATGATGGTGTATGTGCAGGAGAGGTACATACAGGGGGTATGATGTGGGCAGTATGTGCAGGAGAGGCGCACAGAGGGTATGATGGTGGGCAGTATGTGCAGGAGAGGCATACAGGGGTATGTATGATGGTACAGGGGTAGTATGTGCAGGAGAGGCATACAGAGGGAGGCATTTAGAATGACAGTGGGCAGAGTATGATGGTGTGCAGTATGTGGAGAGGCATATAGAGGGTATGTGGTGGGCAGTATGTGCAGGAGAGGCATATAGAGGGTATGATGGTGGGCAGTATGTGCAGGAGAGGCATATAGAGGGTATGATGGTGGGCAGTATGTGCAGGAGAGGCATATAGAGGGTATGATGGTGGGCAGTATGTGCATATAGAGGGCAGTATGTGCAGTATGGAGAGGCATATAGAGGGCAGGAGAGGCATATAGAGGGTATGATGGTGGGCAGTATGTGCAGGAGAGGCATATAGAGGGTATGATGGTGGGCAGTATGTGCAGGAGAGGCATATAGAGGGTATGATGGTGGGCAGTATGTGCAGGAGAGGCATATAGAGGGTATGATGGTGGGCAGTATGTGCAGGAGGAGAGGCATATAGAGGGTATGATGTGGGCAGTATGTGCAGGAGAGGCATATAGAGGGTATGATGGTGGGCAGTATGTGCAGGAGAGGCACATAGGGGTATGATGTGGGCAGTATGTGCCGAGAGGCATATAGAGGTATGATGTGGGCAGTGGTGCAGGAGGGCAGGTGATGGTGGGCAGTGCAGGAGAGGCATATAGAGGGTATGATGGTGGGCAGTATGTGCAGG